ACTTGGGCAATGAGTTGAAACTGCCATTGTCAGTAAGCTGCATCCTCAGACTTTTTGTTTTTTCATTTTGAAGCTTGGTTTTGCTAAGTTGCCCAGGCTAGCCTTGAACCTGTGATGTGTCTGCCGCCACCTCTTGAGTAGCTGCGATTACAAACCTGTACCACTGTTGAGGCTCAGGGGACAGAAGCTGCAAGGGTTAGGTTCTGTAGACCAGAGCCTCCTGGAGCACAGCTGGAAGTCACTGTGGAGTTTCTCATTCAGGTGGCAGGCTAGGATTGGAAACCTGGATTTCTCATGGCAACGGGTGATGCTGTGGCAGGTCCCGGGAGCTGCTGACCCAAAGTTTCCTCATGTAGATGGGTTTTACAAGAGGATGCCCTCTCTTGTCCCAAACTGTAACCACTAATTACCTATGGCTGCTGGAAACTCCACATGTGGCTTGTGAGATGGGGGCCCGAATTTTTAAGATTATTTCATCTTAACGTAAGTATGGGTATCCCCGTGTAGTTGGCAACTTCCATGTTGGATAGTATAGTCATACAGCTGGGTTTGCAACTAAAAAAACAAAAACAAAAACAACTGAGATCCTAGGAGTCCCCTCCTCTCCCCACAGCCTCAGGATTTCTGAGGTGGATTTGGGGAGCCTCCGTGATAGGGGCAGCCAGGCTTAAAGGTCCCCGTGGGCATGTAGATCCATGAGAAGAAACACAGATGTAGCAATGCCATCCCAAGTGGGCAAGTGTGGTGGCACTCTGCTCTCGCTTTTTCCTGAGGGGGGAGGGGCTCCCATCTCCTTTCTCACTGAGGACCGCCCTAGGTGCTCACTCCACACAGATTTCCTTCACCCCCAGAAACACTTCCTGCTTCCAAGCACAAGCAGAGGGCATCGGTGCTGATGTTGAGGACAGTTGACCCCTTGGGATGGGAGGGAGCTTCTGACTTCATCCTTGGCTTCGGCAGTCAAAGGGTCCTAGAGTATTTCTAGAATGGAACTCTTCTCTTTCTTCAGTGGCTCAGGGTGGATCCCATGGAACCATGCAATTTCCAAGACGGAAGAGGTGTCAATGACTCTAATATGGGAGGTCTGGAGAAGGTAGGGCTTGATTCTACCTCTGACAGTCAGGCTTCAGGGCTCCTTGGGTAGAAATGAGGGCTAGGTGAAGGGCAGGCCAGTGCCAGTTCTAGCCTCAGCTCCTACGAGGCCAGCTGTCTAGTCACTGCAGAGTTCGGTGTATTCCAGTAGCTTCCTGAGGCACTATGTCGCTGGGAGTAACCACAGCATCTCCACACACTCAGAAGCTGAGCCCACCCTCTAGCTGGAGGCTGACCCTGCACTGTCTGATCATTCTGTCCATGGTGGTCATTTCTCTTCACCTCTGTTCTGAAGATCTTGGTTCCAGTACGCCATACCAAAATGAGTACACACTGAACACACACACCCTACTCACTTCTGCTGTGACCGCCAAGACGACCTTCTCTTGCAGTGTGCCTTTAGGGCTCCCGTTTCCTACGCTGGCCTTTCTTGGATCCATTCTCCTTTACTTGACCCTCACCCAACCTTCCCATTTAGAGCAAAACTTAGAGCCCTGCAAACCCACGAGGCAGCCTGGCTGGTGTCTTTGGCATCAGCCTGAATCACTGTCTTCCTCAAACAGGTCAGTTCATTCTACTTCAGGGCATCACGTCAGTTGTCTCTTTCTGGAATGCTCTTACCCTAGAGCTCAGCATGGCTAGCTGGTATAATCAGATCTCAACTCTTTATAAAACCAACTCAAACCTCATCACCTGGCAGAGACTTCCTTGACCTCCCCAGATAAAGGAGCCTTCTCCATCATCAACTCTCTCTCTCCCTCTCTCTTTCTCCCTCTCCCCTACCCCTCTTTCCCTCTCCCTCTCTCTTCACCTCATCACCCCCTCAACTCGTTATTTGCTCTCTCTCCCTTTCTCCCTCACTGCTCTGCTCTCTCTGTCTCTCCTTCTCTCTTCCCCTCCCCCTCTCCCTTCTTCTCATCCTCTTCACCCTCTCTCCCCCCTCCCCTCCCTCCTCTCTCTCACTGCTGGTTTATTTTCTAAGTGATGAGATTTGTTTATGGAGTTGCTGTCTCACCCCCCGGAGTGGGGTTGACAGAGGGCAAGCACACTGAGCTCTGACTCTAGACCTAGAGTCGCACTGTCACACAACAGGGCTCAGTAGATGTTTCTTGGGCTTAGTAAATAAAAGTGTCAGCACTCGACTGGGAGGCACGTTCATGGGTGACCTCACTTCCCTGACTGCTCAAGTTCAGACCTTCCCAGACTCCTCCTCCCCTATGGGGTACCATTTCATCACTCCCAGTGACCTGCCGCCCCAAGCCCTTTAGCAATCCACTGGAAATGAGAGATTTAAATGAGAAACAAAGTGGGCCTGCCTTCTGAGGAGGGCAAGATGCCCTTAAAGAAGTAGGAAGAGAGCAAGGAGCACAGGAATCTCCAGCCAGGGATCTGCCCTGCCAGAGGCTCGCACTCTCAGGCTTTAGTCCTGTCCCAGCACATCCACAGACAGCTCAGCCTTCAGGCCAGCATCCCTGTTCTGTTGCTGTGGGAGACTCTAGGGACCAGAGGTTCTTGGAAGATTCACCGAAGTGCCTGGGAGGACAATCTTCCTGAGTCACCTCCTGCTACCTGTTGTGTGGCTGCATCTGTCCAGAGTTTTTGATGAAGAGAGTAGGAAGCCTTGCTGCATGGCTTTCCTGGGGTAGTTCAGAGAGCTTTCCTTATGGTTGGGTCTGGTTGGTCTTAGACCTTAACCTTAGTTTGGGAGAAACCTGCCACAGATGAAGGATAAGTTCGGATGTCTTTCCACCTGCCACAGTTTACCTGGGTCCTTCCCCTGCCCGTCCTTCCTGCCTCAGGCTGCCTTCCCATCCTGGGGTCTCTCCACAGGGATCTCATTTTTTCTTCCCACACCCTAGTGCTTTGCTATCTTCTCAGCTGGGCTCATAGCCTGACAGAGCACCACAGTAAGACCACAGGCAGCTGGAGCCTTAAGAGGGCATTCATCTTTGCTCTGTGGTGCTGCTTTGTCACCAGGGATGGCAAAACAAAGCACACACAAACCAGCACAAGCATGCACACGCACACTCACACACACACACACACTCAGACACACACCCACCCACACACCCCTGGAGCACCAACTTTTCCCTGCTGGCCTCTGCACCTGTGTTGATCCTTCTTGGCCTCTGACTGGCTTAAGCAGGGACTGTGAGGGAGGGGCCTGATTTCTGTAGCTGTTAGCTGTGGCCTTGGTACTCAGCGAGTACCAGCATCCTAGGGTTCCTGGGCCGAGGTAACTGCAGAGCTCAACCCCCCTGCTTGTTCTGTAAGGCGAGAACTCAGCAAGGGGTAACTGCTTAGCTGCTAACTACTTGAGAAGCAAAAGCTTAGACTTAACCAACAGGAGAGCAGAGAGCTGTGGGTGATAAGCAAAGGTAAGGCGAATTATCCCCCAAACAGCTCACAATACAGGACACAAAGCTGCCACCACAGGGACTTCTCGGTGACCAGAACCATAAAGTAGCACAGAGAAAAAAAAATCCCTGCAGACGGATGATGGGGTGTTGCTGTTAATTTTACTTATATGGTGTGTGTGTGTGTGTGTGTGTGTGTGTATCCATCCCAAGGACAGCCTGTGGGAGTCTCTTATCTCAATGTGGGTTCTGGGAGTTCACCCCAGGAGAGCCATCTTGCCCCCACCTCCACCTTCCGGAGCTGAGTTTTTAAGGTAGGGGTAGATCACTATGAGCAGAGGTCACGGTGCTCTTGAAGGGCCTATTTTCCTGAGACAGGAGGTGGGAGTGTGTTAGGGTAGTGGACTGGGAGGCACAGGGGACTTCAGAGAGGATGAGGACTCTCCCAGATCCGTTGGGTTGCAGACCTGAATCAAGGTGCCCCCAGCCTTCATCCCAAGCCATGAATATAACATAGAGGAAGGACTCTGGGATACATATTCATGTTGTGTTACCTACAAGCTAGATCATCTGCTGGACCAGCAAGATGTAAAGGAAAGAGGCCCGTTTCATGCTGCAGGCTGGGAAGGCCAGCTTCTCTTCTGGCTTAGCCTCTGGCTCAATCCAGCTTCGGAAGGAATGCTGTCCATGCCAGTGACCGGCAATTTGTTAGACTTGCTTTGTCCTGATTGGGAGAGAGGCCTCTCCATTCCTGGATGCAGCCTTCTGACCCATCCTTTAGAGCAGCAAGGCCAGGTCCTTCAGTTCCCTGTGGGCACCTAGGCACATGGTCTCTGTGCTTGTTGGGCACCTGGTCCTCCAGGTTGCAGCTGCCTGTTCGGACACTCCACTCTTCCAAATAGTCCTGGCGGAAGGTGGTCACATTTAGAGACTCAGCCCCTTGTCTAAAGGTCCCTCTCTTGCCTTGCCACCTCTGAGGACCCTCAACATTCCTCTTGCAAGCGAACTCAGCCTTTAAGGAACTGGCTTTTCCTTATCACAACTGAGGTCTGACACAGGAGACAGACCTAGTGTTCCAGCAGGTCTAAGATCTAAGACAGTCAGTGGGGCTGTGGTCTGGGTCCTGTACCCTTTGGAAGGTCCTGCCTTCCAAACGAATAGAGATGGCTGCTTGCAGGAGCCCCGGGAGGTCAGGGTACAAGGGAACCTCCAGTCTGGGGCAGCGGAGATTCACCCAAAAAACGCTCTCCCTCTGTCACAGAGCTTCGGAGGCCCGCGCGCGCGCCCGCCATCGCAGATGCGCCCCAGCTGTCACTCCGCTGCGCGCTCTCCTCCCTCTGCTTGCTTGCTGTTGAGCACGCGCGCTCTGATCCTTCTGCCTCTCCCCCTCTTCGGTCTGTCTTCCTCCCGCCCTCCCTCTTTCGCTTCAGTTTGTTGCTGACCCCGCAGCCCCCTCCCTGGCAGCGGCAGCTCAGCCTGCGGGTCCGCCTCCTTCCCAGGCGCTGCCCAGTCTCCCGCTGCCCCGAACCAGACCGGACATCCCCGCGTTCTGCCTGCCAAGCTGCCCTTGTCCAGCTACCTGGTCTGAGCATCAGGTCCCATTGCAAAAAGGTGAGTTGTGAGCGGCTTCTGCGAGAGAACGGGGTTGGCTTAAGTGGCTTGGGTAGGGGAACTAGGGACCACCTGTCCCTGCACGGTTAGCAGGGTTTTCTTCCCAGGGCAGTTGCTGAGGTGGGGTGGGGGAACCACTTAGGACCAGATACCTGGGCAACCCAAAGGTACAGAGCATTAGGAAGTCTGACTCCTCAGTGCTAGGGACATAGCTGTGTATTCTGCTAAGGAGGGGGTATGGAGGAGGGGACAGGGAGGAGAGGAGTGCTGGTGCCACATGATGGCCTCGGGTAGCATGGAAATGTCCCTGCAGCGGGAGGAGCGGCAGCTATGGGAGGGGGGAGACAGCTTGGGTGTTGGAAACAGGCTGGCATTCTGAGAGGCTTGAGTGGGGGTGGAGGACCCACTGAGTGAGGAGGTGAGAGCTGGACTTTGATACCAGTTGCTCTTGCTGCGCTTGCTGGCCTTCAGGTAGCTGTCCTTGGACAAGGGTGCAAAGGAGCCCTTCCTAGTTGGAATAGTCTTTGCAGTCCTGATGGAGCCTCCCTGGTGGGGGTGTGGCTGGGAGTGAAGGAGGGGTGTCTGGTGGTTCTTCCTTACAAACCCAGACCTTGATTTTAGCACACTGGATGGCCAGACAAGTCAGGAACCTGAGATGCTTAGGTGGTCCACCACTGCATAACAGCCTTTGCAGCAGGTGGGCCAGATGCCTTCAGAGCACTGGGCATTTAGTGTAGGGGGCAGTGTACAGCGAGGTCACATTCACTCTGGCTGCCTGGCTCACATGGGCATGGATGCCCGACTCGGAGCAGGACATTGGTTTTCAGGAGCCCCAGGCCCATTTCATAACGCTGGATTCTGCCCAGGAATCTGCAGTTCAAATTCCTGTATGGCCGGCAGGTCTGGGACTGGGCTCTGATTGGTTGCTCTGCCTCCCACCCCCAGCTGTCTGCATTCCAGGGTGGTGGTGGGGATGTTGGCACCAGGCTGCCAGGGTTTGTTGGGCATTGCCTTGTGTGACTCAGATTGACAGGCCCACAGCTTAGATAACTACAGCAGGTGGGGGGAGGGGAAGGAGCCAGCATGTGGCACTGGGCGGGGGAAGTCCAGCTGGTAGGGAAATCCAACATCAGCTTCCAAGCTGCCAAGAAGAGCCCAGCACTCTCACCCCCACACCCCCACCTTCCCACTGCAGGAGGGCTCTGGCTCTGCCAGAAGAGGGAGACGGGGAAAACCAAGCAGGACAGACAAAGAGGCGGGCTTCTTAAGCCCCCTAGCTGTGTTCTTTGAGGTTTGCTTAGAGGATGTGTCAGTGCTCAGGACAAGCGTACCCTATTTTCAATTTCCAAGTGGGGAGACCCAGAGCCAGGGTCTTGCTTTAGTCAGGTGGGTGGCAAAGGAGGGAGCTCAAATGGGTACAAGGTTGGGACGGGAGGGGGGTGCAGGGGGGGAAGCCAGAATGAGGCTTGGGTGTGGGGGTGAGTGATCTTTCTTGGCTCCTGCCCAGGGAGGCAGTTGAATGGTAGGAGCCTCCTGGGTCCTCAATGGCTTCTTCAGCTTCACGGAACAACTCCATGTGTGTTGGGTTTCCTTCCTACTCTGCTTCCCAAGGCTTCTGTCAGAGACAGGGAGAACTTGAGAAGGAAAGTGGCTCAAGAAGCTGTCCGGGAGAAGACAGTGTACTGAGAGGACCCTGGAGGAAGGCCATGTGGCTGTTTCAAGCAGAAGGGGTTTAGAAATTGCTTCACTGGACAGTATATGCTTAGGGGTGACTGAAGGGGGTCAGAGGTGGGGGTATTTTCTAAAAGGGCCTCGTGGCCAGACAGGTGACAACAGCTCAGGGGACATTTCAGTTTCCCATGTTCTGGGCTACCAGAAATTCCACTTGCCTAGATCAGATAGATGTCCAGACTCCCTGGAAGTCCTCTAAGATGGGACAGGATGGCTTGCAGGCCACTCACTAGCCTTGAGCTTCCCTGAAGAACAAACTGGGTAGACCATGCAAGCCCTCTCTGCTTCCTCTCTGTAGGTGTGTAGAGCCGGGGGAGGGGATGCAGGAGCCTTGATCCAGGAGAGACATACTGGGACGATATGTACAGCAATGGGCCCAGGAATCAGGGGCGGAGGGCACTCCCTTGCTGCATGTTGTGAGTACTTGGTTTGAGGAGTACTAAGAAGGTGCTCAGAGGAATCTTGTGGATCCCCAGGCCTGCGGTGAGGTGTTTCTTTTCTTTTTTTCTTTTGGGTTTTAGCTGAGTGTGAGCCCACATCACGGGGAGAGTAGGCCTACGTCTGTGGGAGAAATTGGAGGGCAGGTGTACTCTGTCATCCTAACCTCAATGTTCTGCATGCAAGCAAGCCTGGCTGGCTGCTCCAAGCTGGGGGAGGGGCAGCTGGGGCCCCAGGGGAAACAGCTCCCACTCCTATCAGCAGTGGGGACAGCGGCCATTGGGCTAGCAGGAACACGTGAGACCTCTGGCTGCCCCCTGCTCCTGCCTCACCTATCTGCAGCTCCAATCCTCCACTCCCCAATTGCCCCACCACATCCCCCAGCTCCCAGCCCAGAGGGGTTTTCTGGGGACAGGGATGGCTGTTTGCTCAGATAGTGATGAGGCAATGATGCCTTACAAACTGTGAAGGTCTGTATGGAGGAGGGCTGTACATCTCTGTTTCTGAATCAGCCTTTACCTGAGGGACAGGGCAGAGGCAGGAACTTATGAGGGCAACCCAGTCAGAAATTTTGAGGGCAGGAAACAGGTCCAATTGATATTCTTTCATTTGCCTAACCTTTTCCATGCCTCAGTTTCCCTATGATGTTGATAATGACTCTAACCTTACTGAGCTGTATGGGCATCAAGAACACAACACTGTGTAGTTCTTTGACTGTGGCCATTAGCATCTCCCCATGTTAAAGGCTTGTAGGAGGCCCTTGGGTTGGTGCCCTTGTCTTAGCCTTCCTTAGGCAAGGTTTGTTAAGGTTTTGGGTGAGCCCTTGACTTATTTTTCCTTTAAATCTGCCATTTTTCTGTCCCAGCTCCTCCAGGCTAACTGTATGCAGCCTATGCTGTCCCCAGTTGCCTGACCTAGAGCTGTACCAGCATAGCCTTCTGGGTAGCTGTTAGGCCCTGGCTATACTGCTGGCCTATACTTCTCAATCGCAAATATGTCCCCGACTGCCTGGGATTTTGTTGTTGGTGTGAGACCTCAGATTTAGCATTTCTGAAAAGCTCCAGGCTAGCTGATCTTATTAGCCCATCAGAGTCAAAACTGCATGTTTCTGGTTTGGGAAGTTCAAAGGTCAATCCTAGCATATCAGCCCCATTCTGCAACAGGAGTGCAGGGATCCTGCTGGGCCCAGCCCTGCCCCTTTGTTCTCTGTTTCTGGGGATAAGGTAAAACACTGGTTAGTTTTGAGAGCAGGTCCTGAAGGTGGGGGTGGGGCTGAGGAGTGGGGATGGGGTGAGGACAGTTTCTTTCCTTCACATAGGACCTCCAACTCCATTCTGTCTCCCACTCCCACAGAGTGTTAATTTATTCCAGCAGTTGGCCAGTGCCTGCTGCAGCAGCTGTCCTCTGCCTCCCAATGTAGGTCACCCCTTTCCTGAGGAGTCTCTGCATTTCAGGGGCAGAAGGGTCTTCTGCTGGGGGTTGTGTGCGTGGACTTGGGGTGGAAGAGGCTAGGGAGTGCCCCTCCCCCACATCTCTCCACAGATCAGGATGACACTGACATCAATCAGAGGAGACAGGTCAGCTACCTAGGCAGAGCAAGGGTATCTTCTCCTAGACTCCAGAGGATCTCAGTCACCAGAGTCCTTTCTGCTACTTCAGCAGACAACAAACACTACCCTGGTCTGCCTTGTTTGCTCACGGGCCCTTGGCATCATAAGCACAGTGATCCTGAGGGGGCAAATGGGAGGAAGAACCTTCTCGGAACCTCAGGTGGGGGTCAGCTAGAAGGAGGCTTCTCCGAGGCTTGTCTCCCTGTGGAAGGACACAGACATGGGAGCAGAAGCTGGCCTGGGCCTTCATCGATCCCTGAGCCTGAACAAAAAAACTGGCCTGGCTTTAAGGCTGCCTCGTGGGGTTCTCAGCAGATCATCCTTCCAGGCTGGAAGTGTCCCTGTGCCTCCCTGCTGGGGGTATGTTTGGACTATGAGGCATCCTTTTACTGCCTGAATGATGGCATCTACGTGGTGCTGGAATGCTGCCAGCAAGATGTGTGTGTGTGTGTGTGAGTATGTGTGTGCATGTGTCTATATATCCCAGTTCATGCCTAGCTACTTGTGTGTGGGAGTGCATGTGTGCAAGCACGTGTGTAGTTGTATGTCTTTGTATGGGCCTACCTCACTGATTCAAGGTGTCTGGGAGCTCTGTGCACACTCAAGTGTTTCCCCACTAGGGCCCCTGCAGGGTGACAGCCATCAGGAAGTGGGTAAACAGCCTGACTCAGAAGCCTGTGACCCATTCTGACTTACCACGTAACCTTGGCAAGCTGGTTATGATATCTGTGCATTTGGGTGGCTGTAGCCTGCTTGTTATTTAACAGGTGCTGTGACTGTGGTTCGACTGATGTTTTGAAGGTCAGGGATGGGGGCACTTAGCAAGAGGGAGACTGCTGTCTGAGACGGCAGGTCTGTGTGGGCACTGCATGTGAGGGGCAGAGATATATAGGATAGGAACATGGTGAACATGGTGTGGAGTGAGGACCTGTGATTGGCCACAGCCTGCAGCAGGCTCAGGCATCCATGGGGCTGACCTCCCTTGATGCTGAAAAGGCCCACCGTAGGTTCAAGGCCAGGCGGGAGCCTTTGCCTATATTCCTTATGTGATGTCACTCATGCCAACTCTGACCATTAGGTTGTCACTTTAGGGTTGGGAAGTTGGGGCAGAGTTTAAGCAGTGTGTCGTAAGGAGTTAGGGGGCATGGATCTGAACCCAGAGACTCTGTCTGTGAATCTGAGCCAGGAGAGTACCAGGAGAACGGAAGCCAAGCCACTGTAAGCACTGAGTGCTGAAGCCGACACACATGGCTTCTGCCCTCAGCCTACAGCTGTGCTGAGTTATATCCATGCTTGGTTATGGTGTGCAAACCCTGCTGGACCCTTCACAAGCTGTTGCCTCCTAACGGGGAAGTGGGGAGGTGAAGTCAGGGCTGACAGGTGAGTCCTGGATTCCTGAGCAAGCTGCCCTTGCTCAGCAGAGCACAGCAGAGTATCTGAGGGCCTCATAGGTCACAGCAGCACAGGCCACCTTGGTGGCTTCCTGAAGATCACTAGGGTGGCATGGTGGAGGTAGAGAACAGAGAATTCAGCTAGGCGTGGTGGCACATGCCTTTAACCTCAGCACTTGGGGGGCAGGGGCAGGTGGATCTCTGTGAGTTTGAGGCCAGCCTGATCTACATAACAGGTTCCTGGCCAGCTTTGGTTCAAACAACAAAACACCAATTAAATGGGGGTCAGGATGGGGTTGGGGATGCAATGGGACCATTCTCTGAACCTGAGGGAAACCCGGCTAGGCTGCTTAGGCTTCTAGACCAAATGCCCAGGCATCCAGTAGCTCCACTCACTCCAGTGTCAGCCCCACTCTGCCATTGGCTGGGAGCTCCAGGACTAAACAGAACTCTGAGGGCTGCAACTGAAACTATACAGGGGCCATGAACCTGGCAATCAAGGAAGGCCAAACTTGTAGCTATCCTGGGAGGAGTGGTCCCAGGGAACAATGTCTTTTGGGTCCTTAAAGGGAGCTGGGGTATACTACAGCCTCCCCTATCTGACCCTATCCTGGGAGGAGGCTGGCAGGGTGCAGGCTCTGGCTTGCCACCTCATAGTTCTTAACCACATCTCGCAGGGTGCTGAGGCCTTGGGCCCCTTTAGGGGACACTGGGTTATGGAAGGCCCTAGAGAAAAAGTAAGAAGCCCACTTGTCCCCTGAAGAGTAGCCTGCTGCCTACACTTGGCCTTCTGCTAGCTGTTTTACCCTTTCCTCTAGGTCTTCGTGTCCCCCTGGGCCAGTAGCAGAAGAGCAGGAACCCCTGAGCTGCGGTTGTCATAGATCGGCTAGCTGGCAGAAGAAAAAGCTTGGAATTCACCTCAAGGGCTTAGAAGCAGGAGGCGGTGCAGCAACCCATACCCTACCTGTCAGCAGGAGCTACGAAGGGAAGGGCCTGGCCTCTGCCTCCCCACAGCTATGGTAAGCTGGGGATTGGGGATGACAGGACTGGTGCATCTAGCTGGAGGGGCACAGGTGGGAGCTGGGGTCTCCCTCATTTACCTAGGAGAGATGTGCCTTCATTTTCTCCCCTGCGGTAAGCCTGGAGGAGGAAGCAATATTGCAAGAAAATAATTTTTAAAGCCCACTAGGGTATAAAGAGGCCTCAGGGGTGTGAGGGAAAGACGGGAGGGGGTGTAGGGGGCAGAGCTGGGGTTCAGCTGGCAGCTCGTGTGCCTTCTAGCCCGCCCTCAGGAGGTAAATATCTTGCTTGATCCTCTTGACCCCTCCTTGCAGAGCACCAGGAGCAACAGGAGAGGGGGTGAAGAATGTAAAGAGACACCTAGGCCTTGTCCCTGACCCCTGGGCTGGAACGGGCTCCAAATGCTTTGCTCCACCCATTTCCATCTCTCTCTCTCTCTCTCTCTCTCTCTCTCTCTCTCTCTCTCTCTCAGGACTGACAAGTGGTGCATGCTGAGGGGCTCTCTCTCTCTCCAGTGCTGCAGAGAGTGTGGGCTTCACCATGCTGGCACCAGGCGGTGGCCCAGAGCAGAGGAGCAAGCTTGTCCTGCAGTGGAGGCAGGTCTCCTGTGAGTATGAGCCCAGCGTGTGTGTGTGTGGGGGGGGGGGGGAGGGGTGTGTGTCTGACAGGGTGACGACAAGATGTCTGACCTTCCTCGGTGCCTAGGGCTTTGCTTTGGAGGCCTAGACTCATGCCCTTGTTAAGTAAAGAGTCCATGCAGAGTGCTTTCCAGAGGCGGGGAGCCGGAAGCTGGACAGCTGGCTCTGCCCCATGCATCTCCTTTCCTGGCAGTCGCAAGCCAAGAGTTCTGTAGGAGAGTCATCCAGCTTCACTCTTTTTAACTGGGCTCTTCAATGTATGCAGCAGGTGTGGAGCAGGGGCGGAGCAGGGGCAGAAATCAGCCTCGGCTAGAGGAAAGCTACCTTCTCACGTGGCCTCAGCCATCTTGTCTGCTGGATGAAGCCAGAGGCCCCAGCAGGATGTGTATGCTGCCGAGTACCCAGCTCTGTAGGGGCACTAGGGAATTCTTAGGGTGTAGCGGTGGGAGAAGGGCTCACAGGGACTGGATCCATCCCTCCCTCCACACGCAGCACACTGAGGTAAAGGTGCTAGTTAAATGCAGCCTTGTCTGTGAACATTCTCTCCAAAGGGGCAAGGTCAGCCATGGCCGGTTTGCCCACGGCTACACAGTAAGAAGTGAGAGATGTCCAAAGGGACACTGCTCTGCCTGACCTCCCTGGCCTCCCCTGACCTCTCTGGCCTCCCCTGACCTCCCTGGCCTCCCCTGACCTCCCTGGCCTCCCCTGACCTCCCTGGCCTCCCCTGACCTCCCTGGCCTCCCCTGACCTCCCTGGCCTCCCCTGACCTCCCTGGCCTTCCGTCCAGCTGCCCCAGCAGGGAGCTGTCTGAATTATTCACCAGGTGAATGGCTGATGGATGGAGGGGCTCAGATCCCTTTCATCCTGGGATCACTCTGGCACCTCTCAGTGCAAGATTAAGTTTTTCTTGTAGCTTTGGTGCAAGTTGAATCTGGTGATGGGGGTGGGGGTGGAGGTGAGCGGTGAGGGGGTTGTTTTCTCCCTACCCAGCTGCCAGTTCATCCACCAGAAAGCATGTGGAGTGTGGCTCTTGCTGCTGACTGTCCTTAAGGGGTCTATCTCCTTTCCTCCTCTCTCCCCCTCCCCTTCCCCTCCTCTACTCTTTGGTTTCTCTCTCTTTTTTCTCTTTCTCTTCCTCCTTCCATGCCCCCGCCCCCATGCCGTCTCTCAGTTTCTTTAGACAGTTGTTACACAGCCTAGGCTCATCTCAGAGGGATCTTGTCTCCGCCTCCTAAGTGCCGAATACCGATGTGTGCATCACACTTGGCTTCTCCTTAGAAGTAAAACATGAAGAGTGTGTGCACATAAAACAGTATGAGTGCGTGTGTGCTCATGCATGCACATGTGTGTGGGTGTATGTATGTGCATGTATGTGCATGTGCATAAAACAGTGTCTGTAAATGTGTGTGTGTGTGTGTGTGTGAGTGTGTGTGTGTGTGTTATGGGGCAGGTTAACCCTGTAGATGGGCTCAGGGGTCGGAGGTCATTTCAGGTGGCCTCAGGTAGCAGGGAGAGGTCTCCAGGTGACTGTATAACTCAGCTGTGCTCAGCTTTCCACCAAGAACAAAGTAGCTCAGGTGTCGCCTCACAGCAGGTCCTTCACTGTCATTAATCCCACAAGGAAGGGCAGGGAGAGTGTCATCTTGTCCTCCCCTCAAACTCTGCCCTCTGGGACTTTAGATGACCAGACACCCACCAGACAGACTGGAGACTGTCTCATCTTGGTGCCCTGGTTGGGTTGGCTGCTGGCCATCCAAGTAGGGCAAGCTGGGAGGCAACCGGCTTTGAACCTCCTCAATTCTCCATCTGGAGGCTTTCCTCCGGACTCTGGCTTGATGTAATGGAGACAGAACTGTATGAGCTTATTCCCCTGGGTTCTCAAAAAGGCAGGCTTCTCTGGCCCGGGCCAGTGGGCCCTGACTACAGGGCCACTGTCAGGAAGGGCTGCTTTCTGGGGCTCACTTCCAGCAGCTGTCTTCAGGCTGGACCCACATATTCTACTCAGAAGGGTCTTGGGAAAAAAACAGGACATGACAGGAATCCTGTTACCTGATCCAGCCAGAAATGCTACCTTGCCTTCTAAGGCTAGAAGCCCAGGATGGGCTTGGCAGCTCAGAGTTTAAGTGCAGACGGAGCCACTCCCGGTCAGACTTGTAGTATTGTCAGCTGTATGGTTTACTGTGCGCTATCATAATGCTCTGACGAAAGTCCTAGCTGGGCCTGGGTCCCACCTTAGACATCAGAATCTGGTAAATGGACAGCATCTAAGATGCCACAGGGGACACTCTGGACTCCCCTTTCATGCCCAAAGCACATCTCAGTGTGACGTGGCTTCAGGTATGTGTGTGTGGGGGGGGAGGTCCCCATGGGAAGGACCCACAGACTTGGAAAAGTTTCCCCGATATTCTAAAGTTTTATATTTTATAGCCAGTTGGGGCATTAGGGCATCTAAGTTCTGAGTCACTTAGCAGTGGATCTGTGAGCAGGAACTGAGGACTTGCATGGCTTGCCTAGGCTTCTCCACTGACAAACGTGACATTTTGGTCACAGTGTGATGCCTTTAACATGGGTGTTTCAGGTTCCTGAGCACATTTCTGTGTGGTCAACAAATAACTGTGAACTGACTGCAGGTTTTGCCAAAGGAGATGAGGCCAGGAAGGCACTTGGGTGTGAGCTGGGAAGAGGGAAACTGAGGCAGGAGAGTCCAAGCCTGTTACTCTCTCCTCCTGACTCCTCTCTAGGGATCACCTGCTGGATTGCCCTGTGTGCTGTGGAGGTGCTTCCTGCCTGCCCTTTTTCCTGCACATGTGACAGTCGCAGCCTGGAGGTGGACTGCAGTGGCCTGGGCCTCACCACTGTACCCCCGGATGTGCCCGCTGCCACCCAGAGCCTTTTGCTCCTCAACAATAAGCTGAGTGCCCTGCCAAGCTGGGCATTCGCCAACCTGTCCAACCTGCAGCGGCTGGACCTGTCCAACAACTTTCTAGACCAGCTCCCCCGGTCCATTTTTGAGGACCTGGTCAATCTGACAGAGCTCCAGCTTCGGAATAACAGCATCAGGACCCTGGACAGGGACCTGCTCCAGCACGCCCCGCTGCTTCGCCATCTGGATTTGTCTATCAACGGCTTGGCCCAGCTGCCCCTGGGGCTTTTTGATGGGCTCCTGGCTCTGCGATCCTTGTCCCTTCGCTCCAATCGCCTGCAGAGCCTGGACCGCCTAACGTTTGAGCCCCTGGCAAGCCTGCAGCTGCTTCAGGTTGGAGACAACCCGTGGGAGTGTGACTGCAACCTTCGAGAGTTCAAACACTGGCTGGAGTGGTTTTCCTACAGAGGTGAGCCCTACCACCCCACAGGCAAGAGGGGAGCTGGGGTGAGGGGAGGGGAAAGAAGAACTACAGCCCTGAACCCCCCCAAAAATCGTTACTTCCTGCAGTCAGTGGAGGCCAGGAGCCTCTCATCTATGCTCATGAAGACTCATTAAGGGCGTTCTGAACCTTTGCCTCCCTTTCTTAGGTTTCATATGGGAACTTAAAGACGCACGACACTTTTTCTATGGTCTCTATCCCACAAGTATGCCTCTGGGCTTCTCTGGCAGGACAGGAAGAGGAACGACCACCCTTCCCGGGGAATAATAAGGTCATCTGCCTCTTATATGAGTGCGGAATGTAACTGAAACCCACAGACACAACCATTTTCCTGTGAAGGCGATATTAGTTTCCAGTCCCAAGAAGTGTTGACAGGAAACAGTAAGCAGATGAATGGTTTGAGTTTTGCCTTCTTATCCTTCCTTTAAAAAACTAACTATTTATTTATTCGCACACATGTCTGCTTGAGCATACATGTGTGTGTACACGTCACAGAATGCGTGTGATAGTCAGAGGACAGCTTCAGGAGTTGGTTCCCTCCTTCTACCAGTAAGGCTCCAGGGATATAACTCATGCCATCAGGACTGTCAGTAAGTGGTTTTATTCACTCTGCATCCTGACAGCCCTTTATTGTTAGGTCAGAGCCTGACTCTTGGCCCAGAGTTGGAACTCACTTTGTATTCTAGGTTGAACCTAAACTCTGTGAGGCTACACCCCTGAATTTTCCCCCAACCTTAAAGTCTTCTCTATTTACTTTATGTGTATGTGTGTGTGCCCAAGTGTATTACATACATGCATGCAGTGCCCTCAGAGGCCAGAAGAGGGCGTCTTCTGGAACTAAAGTTATAGGCAGCTGTCAGCAACCCAATGTGGGTGCTGGGAATTGAACTGGCTCCTCAAAAGCAAGTACTCTTACTTGCTGAGCCATCTTTCCTGCTCCCTCTTTCTTTAATCTGAGAAAGTTCTATAATGAACAAGTGAGTTGATCAAAAGGACACTTAGCCAGGCTCATACCTGCAATCCCAGCACTTGGGAGGTAGAAGCAGGGATCAGGAGCTCAAGGGCCCGCCTAGACTACAAGAGACTGTCTAAAAATAAATGAATCAATCAATAAATAATAAAAGAGGAGATGAACTGGAACGGGAAGGGGACAAATAAGTACAGTGCTGAAAAGGGTCAGATCTTGTTTAAATTTTTGGCCCTGCCACCTACTAGCTGTGTGATCTTGAGAAGTTAATTAACATCTCTGTGGTATATCTGTCAAAGGGAGAAAGGTCAATTGTGAGAATTAAATAGGGCAATGCATGCGAGGTGATTTGAAAAGCACCCAGCATAAAGGAAGTGTTGGGCGGAACGCAGATGCAGGAGCACACTTCTCATTTGTATTCATAAAATCGAGAGCACCCAGGAAGACACAGTCAGTGCCCGGCACCAGGCAGCTGCATGGTGTATGTGGAATTAACAAATCAGCACTAAAATCCTGAAAATAACACAATGCCTTCCCTCACCCTTACCTCATTCGTTTCCTACCCAGCCACTAACTCAATATTTCCATGCTACTCGGATGCGTTAATTAAAGACACGTTAGAAACTGGAAAGTGCTCTGAGATGTTAGTCACCGTGATGATGCTGACTCTGTCAGTGGAGGAATGATTAATGCTGTTGTCTCACTTCCAGTTTACAGATACCTTTTCCTGCACATTATCTATTTTGATCTCTCAAGCAACTAATCGAGATAGATATCCTCACTTAGCGGCTAAGAATCTGGAGATGCAGACATAATTCAATACTTTAGTTAAATAATTTTCAGGTGACAACACAGCCAGGATTCAACTTCGGGTCTCTGGCCCAGGAAAATGAGGTCACTCCCTTCTCACTCCTAAGCTCTCTGCACGTCTAACCAAAGGTGGCCATGGTTACAGGCTCACTGGTATTGGCCTTAGGGTGCATCCTTGCCCTTAACACAGCAGGCAGGAGCCAGTTTCCCAGATCCGGTCTTCAACCTTGACTCCTTAAAAAACAAAACAAAACCCAAACCAGATGTTTCCATCATCATCCAGAGCATCCTAGGCTAAGATGGATGTCTTTGTGAGGTTGGACTTGAGGCGTCTGGGCTGGGAGAGGGAGCTCTCTTACCCTACCCAGCTAGGTACTGATACCTTCCTCTGCCCTGTCTGGCCTGCCCAGTGTCACGAGTAGTTTGGTGGCCTGCTTAAATACTCTAATCAACCCCAGTCTCCTGTGTCTCCAGGATTTGCTCCCTAGATATTAGCTCTCCGTGCTGGTGCACCTGAGAAACCCAGGAAGACACCATGCCCACTTCTAGGTGTTCACAGGCCACCAAAGCCGTGTGTGTGTGTGGGGGGGGGGGGGAGAAGCAGATAAGGCAGTGGCTTGGGCTTTCGTTCTCTCTCTGAGAAGGGATACAGGCCACGGCTTGTGTTGAAAATAATGGCAAGGGTTCTGAGACATCAGTGAGCAGTCAGGTTTTAGGCAGAGAAGTAGATACATAGCTTGATCACAGCTCGATGTACTAAAGCCATGTGCTGATCATGCCCCCAGCTTTTGCTGTTGTAGGGCAGCGTGACCTTGGAGGGGCAGGCTTGAATGAGATGGGTGGGGGATTCTGTGTGAAGCAAAAGGAACAGCAATGTCCATTTTCAGTGGCGTTGGCAGCAGTGGTGGACTCCTCTATGACACAGCGACCATAACCCTTAGTCTACTGGTGCTAGTTCCTGCCGGCTCTTACTCTTCCGTATTAGGACTGACTTCATTACTGGCAGGACTGTACCTTCTGTGCCTCTCATTTGGAGGTCAGGTGGGGAGGGCACCCCAGTTCTAGATGCTTGTTCACCCCCTCTTTTTTCCCCTTGGATGCAGGGGGACGCCTGGACCAGCTTGCCTGTACCCTACCGAAGGAGCTAAGGGGGAAGGACATGCGTGCAGTCCCCATGGAGATGTTTAACTACTGTTCCCAGCTAGAGGATGAGAACAACCCTGCTGGGCTGGATGTTCCGGGGCCACCATGCACCAAGGCCAGTCCAGAGCCTCCTAAACCTAAGCCTGGGGCTGAGCCTGAGCCTGAGCCTAGCACTGCCTGCCCTCAGAAGCAGAGGTACCGGCCCGTGAGTGTGCGACGAGCTATCGGCACAGTGATCATTGCCGGGGTTGTGTGTGGCATCGTCTGCATCATGATGGTGGTGGCTGCTGCTTATGGCTGCATCTATGCTTCCCTCATGGCCAAGTACCACCGGGAGCTCAAGAAGCGTCAGCCGCTGATGGGGGACCCCGAGGGTGAGCATGAAGATCAGAAGCAGATCTCTTCTGTGGCATGAGAGCTGTCTGTCTGGCCCAGGTAGGACAGCAAGGAGACTCCGTGGGACTGCTACCAAAAGGGCTGCCCTTCCCTCCATCACAGGCCCTGTCTCAGCCTGACACTGGTACTGCCTCCCTCAGCTCCCTGGTCCCAATCTCTTTCCAAGTTTCCCAGAAGCTTCCCTCGGGCCAAAGATTCCCATGGAAGGCCTTCTTTGGGCCTCTTGTCTTTGGAACACCTGAGCCTCCCTGTGGGCTTCTGGCCACAGGGAGGAAAGAAGCTCCACTAGAGACATCATCTGCACCAGGCACTTCCCTCCTGCCCTGGGCTATCGCAGCTGGTGACGCCCCCTACCTCCTGCTCATTCCCACTTCAGTCTGCATTAGGGCCTGGGAGGGAGGGACAGCAGACCCAGAGGTAGATTCTGTGACTCCTTTCAAAGCCAGGAAGATATTCTTGAGTCCTCGCAGTGCAAAGCTTGTCCAGCTCTTAGCAGCTGGTGCCAATGTGTAAACACCCTAGCCCTGTGATCTCGGTCCAACACTTAGAAAAACCAAAGTGACTATAATGTCCCCTTTGGGTGGATGTCATTATGTACTTTATTTGCTATAGACCCCTCTGACTACATTGCTCCAGGTTTATGAATTCTATCCATACTTTTTGTTCTAGTGTGAGGTTCTGAGGCAGGGACTTACTCTATATACAAATTCACTGTCAGACACAAGGCATCATTGTAATGGTCCCACAGACCAAGTCTCTCTCTCTCTCTCTCTCTCTCTCTCTCTCTCTCTCTCTCTCTCTCTCTCTCACACACACACACACACACACACACACACACCACACAGAAACAGAGTCCATGAGAATTTGGGGCAGAGGCCCACTATCCCGAGCCTGAAGGCCACAGTCCCTCTTACTTCTTGATTACAGTCTTCCCATGTCATCAGGGGTTGGGTCCTCGACAATAACACAGGGATCCTTTGAGACCCTCTAAAGTGGGCCAAAGTATGCAGTTAGAGGAACCGCCCATTGCCATGGCAACCCTAGCACCTCTGCTGCTAGGTTTACCAGAGGTGTGTGTGTATGCATGACAGGTTCCAGGCTTCTGAGAGCTCAGTCACAGATCCTTGGGCATGCCTGGGAGCCTTCTCCCTGACAGGTTGCAGGTACACCCAGCAGTTTCTACTCCTGCAGTCTGGCTTCTCCTGTGTCCTCTGTCATCTGCATCATTTGTTTGTGACCTCAAGGGCTGGGTCTGAGCTGTGTTCTGAGATTGGTGGCTCACCTTAAGGAAAGCAGATGTCAGGCATTAAGTCCTCAAGAAGGCTGGCTGCCTTCTAACACATCCCCAACAGACTGCAGGAACTGGAACAGGATGGCTACATTCTGTTCAGAGTCCTTGGAGATGGGGCTTTCTTTCCCAGGGGTTCACCGGCTCTGCCTGGTTTCCTGGGAGTCTGCAATCACACCTGGATTATCCAGGCTAAAAAATGGTTGCAGTCCTATTTGGTATGAGATTCTTACCCCTGGGCTGTGCACAGTTTCAAGGTCATTGCCCTTTGTTCTAAACTGCCTCCTCCTTAGAGACTGGATAACTCGGTAGGAGATGCCAGACTGATATCTTGCCCTGGGAAGGGTCTTGGTAGTAGCCAGATAGACACTTAGGCACTGATGATACACCTATGAGGGCCTCAGGGCAGCCTCTCAGCCCTCCTTCTGGTCCTCTGCCACCTACTCAACTAGCAGGGGTGAATACTGGGAGTCTCAGGAGAGCCTTCAAGGTTGCTCTCTGGGTAGACAGAGAGCACAGGCTGCTGTTCAGGATCACAGGATCCTCTAGGCTGGGCCACAGTCTTCCTTCCTCTTTTGGCTGGTGGGCCAATCCCAGAGCCGGGATTTTCTAAGGGCCTGGGGGAGGGAGGGTGTTGTCAGTGGTGATATCTTTAGCCTGAGACAGAAGATTTTTAAAGGCAAAATTATATTTCTGGTTTGTCGTTTCAGAAGACCAATAAAGACTATTTTCCTATGTATTTCCTTGCTTCATTGGGTGGGAGGGGATGTGGGCATTGGGAGAGTGGTGCCCTGTCTCCCTGCGGTGCCAGGCAGCCGAGCTGTTTGTGTCACCCTGATGCAGAGCGCTCTGTGTGACAGATGGGCCCCCTGCCCGGTAGCCAGGACTGTAGGGCTGGGAGGGACGGGAGAGCAGCATCCCGGGTGTGAATTGGCTCAGGACAAGGGTGATAAGCACTGGGCAGGGCTGAGCTGTGATTTTAAACCTATCCATGCTCCTGCCTGCCAGTAACAAATGTGAGCCTCAGGGCAGAGTGGAGTTGTGCAGCAGAGGTGAGCCGATTCTGCTAGACATCCCCTGGGGTCTGTGCGGGAGTGGGGGGAGGTTTGCTGGAGTCTCTGTGAGCTAACGCCTGCCACCTTGGTCTTTCAGGAATGGCTACATAAGTGTCCCACATGTAGGTTTATGACTATGCCCCTTCAGCCAGTAGGGAGCTAGAATTAGAGACTGGGAAGTTAGGGGTGCAGCACTAAAGAGGGGAGAGCAAGAAAGCCCAGCCTCTGGACGGTTGGTCCAGTCCAGGAGGAAGAGCCTGGCTCCCTGTGGCCTTCTCATCTCCAGGGCAGGACCAGCCTCTAGCCCAGTGGTTCCGAACTCTTGGCCTTCAGAGACTCACGCTGAGCCTTCACCTTGGGAGCTTTCTTGGAATGGCAACTCACCAAGGCAGGAACAGACCCCAGGGAGATGTGAACCGCAGGGCATACAAAGCCATGCAGCCAGAGAGTACCTCTCTTCCTAGGTGTGGTCAGAGCTGGGGGTCACCCTCTAGTCTCTGTATAGCAGAGCCACATCTGGTCTTCCCTAAGTCCCCTGCAGGAGCAGGACAGAACAGCACAGTGCAACACACATTGCTACTGAAGCCAAAGGCCCAGTTCACAGAAGGAGACGCTCAGAGGGTAACAGTCCTGTCTATCCAGACCTGTAATGTGACTGAAGTCTCTCCAGACAGCAGGACAGGCCTGGCACAGCCCCGGCCTAGACGCTGTGCACCACGGTCATCTGCTCTGGAGAGTACCCAAGGACCCGGCTTCCAGGGACAGCAGACACACTACCTACCCATCCTAGAGCTGAAGGTCCCAGCTGGTCCCAGGATCAGGGAGGTTGTGCAGGGGACCAGGGAAAGGAGGATACTGAGTGAGATGCAGATGAACTCACAACATCAGGTCTCCAGTGCCTCATGCTTTTCCTGTCACAACCGGTGCACCCTGAGCGTCATGGGGACTGTCTGAAGGAGTTCAACTCGAGGCACTGGGACACGGTTTCTATGGCAACCCTCCTGGCTCTAACTCAGCTCTGAGTTAAAAATTATATCAGGTAATTGGAGAGTGTGGGGAAGCACAGCCAGCAGGCTGGCCTCACAGTCCTCTCCTTGCCTAGGTCTTCAAGGTAGAGGGGCCGAGAAGGCCACCTCCAGGCAGAATAAGGCAGCTACAGGTCTGCTGGGACTAAACCACAGGAGGATTTTAGAGATAAGTGGGCATCACGTCTGGCCTGAGATGAGCACGCCACAGGCTCTGGAAGAATTGTGCCATGAGGAGCTGCTGGGATGTCATATATCGCCTCGACAGGGTCGGAGGGAGGCATCTAACAGCACGCTAGGGATGCTGAGGTGGACATGCCACCGAGCCTCCTGCCCCTACCTCAGCTCAGAGGAGAATGCTCAGGAACCCTGGCTCTGGGTAGCTAGCACATGCTCTTTGAGGAAACTCAGGCCTTTCCTCTCTTGTACCTCCCTGCTAGATACTTGCAGCCTTGGGAAGAGGCCAGGGTCCTGCCAGCCACTGGCCTCCCATCTCACCAGGCCCCTGGGGTGTGAGACAAGTGCCTGGTACCCCAGCTCCACCAGGTTAAGTAACCATTGGATTGCACAGCTTCTTGAGGAACATGGAGGGCATGAGAGGCTCAAACAGCAAGACACAGATGCCACAGACTGACCTAGCCACCAGGGAACTGCAAAGTTCGGCCAAGCTTATGAGGGCCACTGGATGCCCTCCTTCTTAGAACCTAGGCAACAGGATTGACTCTGGGTCCCAAAGATAGCTGGTCTGAGTCCACGTTCTACCTTTATTACGTGAGACTTTGGACGAATAACTTCTCCATGCCTCAGTTTCTTTGTCTGTCATATGGTCTCCCCTGGTCATCCCGAGTTCCAGGTAGAAAATGCAGAGTCACGAGCCTAGGTCTAGAGCTCCAGGTAATGTCTTTGGGAAGCAGTGTCCCATGGATAGGATGGAGATCTAGATTGTTCCTGTCCTGTGTGACCTTGAGCAGATCTCTTAACCTCTCTGGGATGCACTTTACTCCATGATTTTTTTTGTTTTTTTGGTTTTATAGTTTTACAAACAAAATGATGTAAGCATCCACTTCCTTCCCCCAGCATTTCTCTTGGGAAAATTTAGAGTCCCTATATCCAGGGCACCTTTATTCTTTCTTCCTGTGTGTGTGGTGCTGGGGATGAAATGGCCTCAGGCCAGCTAGACAGGTGCTCTAGCTGAGCCAGCCCCGCCCTGCCAGCCTTCGCCAGGATTTTGCCTTGTAGCTCCCACCACAGCAGTTCAGGGCAGCTCTTACCTGCTGCAATGGCCGTCTTCCCGTCCACTGTCACAGTTATTGCGGTGCTGGCCCTTACCGCCACTGGCTTGCCCGGGCTATCTGGAAAAATGAGAATTACTGTTATTCTAGGCGCCTGCAGAGGTAGCTTGGAGGGAGGTTGAGCCTATCTCTTGGAATGTGGGGCAAACAGGAACGCCAGGATAAGCTATATCTGGAATAGGTAAGGCAGGAGGAAGGGTCCTGTGGCTGTCATGGGTTACAGCTGTCCCTGCAGCTAGACAAATCTGAACCTGCCACATCAACCCTCAGCCTCTGCTGGCCTGAGCATCATAGTGACGCTGTGACTTTGCTCTGTCTCCAGGCAGCAAACCTGCCTGCCTGCTGCCCCTGCTCAGCTCTCCCTTGCAGTTGCCGCACTTAGCCATTGCCGTAGGACCCTGCCATGGCCTGTCCTCCCATGTGTCTTACCCATTGGGGGCTCTGTCCCAGTTTCCGTTTCTGTTGCTCTGATAAACACCACAACCAAATGCAACTTGTGGTGGGAAGGGTTTACTTCATCTTACACTTCCAGGTCGCAGTCCATCACTGAGGGAATTCGAGGCAGGAACAGGAAGCAGGAGTTATGGAGCAATGCTGGCTACAGGGCTTGTTTTCTAGATCACCCCCGGCTCATGCTCAGCCTGCTTTTTCACACAGCTCAGGACCACCTGTCCAGGGATGGCACCATCCTGGGCAGTCTAGGCCCTTCTATACTTAACAATTAAGTTTGGGCCATAGGCTAATCTGGCTAAGGCAATAAGTTCGGGTCCCTGCCCTCTTGCCAGGTGACTCTATGCTGTCGAGTTGATAATAAATGTATTTTATATTAAAAGGCAGGCTGTAGGCATCCCAGGCCTGGGTGGTGAGTGACCCTGCCTTGCCTTTATGAGTCACAGAGAGTGGCAGTGACGGTCCTGTTTAGGAGCCACCCCAGCAGCCAGGATGGTATCTGACACATCTATGAGGCTTCATGGATCCTAGTTGGTGGTGCCCAACTCACCACCATAATGACACCCTTTCATTGCTGCCCTTCTAGAACTTTCTGCCAGGCTCCTGTAGACCTGGGTTGCCTTTCACTTCTTTTAGAAGAACCAGGCCATCCTGAGAACAAGATCAGAGGGTGGTTTCAGCTCTGCATGAGAGCAGCTTTCCGGTCCATCTGTGTCCCTGAGCCAGCTTCCCAAAGGCCTCTTGTCTATAGGTCAGACCAAGACTGTGTGCTGTCCTGTTCTGTCGCACTGCCTGTGATAACCAGCTCTCAAAGCCTCATGGAGATTGCTGAGCAGTGATGCCTCTGTACTGGGGCCAAGCACGGTTTCATATGGATAGCGATCTTATGGTTTCCCCTGATACCTTGCTATCTTCAACACATCTCAAGAGTCTAACTGCTCAGATTGTGGGAACTCATGACCCTCGAGCTGTTCTGGATTCCACAAATTTGCCATGGCAAAGCCAAAGGAACTAGAGTAGAAACAGATCCTCCACTTTGTTTCTGGAAACATCTGTAAGACATGAACGTGGGGAACCCCTGCAGGAGTCCTTGGCACTGTAGCCTGCCTTCCAGTTAGCACAGACTTTTGGGAAACACTCAGTTAATCTCTGGAGACCTGGGAAATGTCAACATTAGTATCGATGGTCACATGACACAGGGCTTGTGTGAACAGCCCAGGATGAGGTGTAGGGGAGGCCCAGGCCCAAGTCCTTGGTGCTGGTAGACTAAGGTGTACCCCGCAGGTGGCATAGGCTCTGGCTACAGGGACAACCCAAGTGGGCAGCACTCAATCTAGTAGACCTCAGGCTAGCCTGGAGGTTACCCCTCTCTGCCTCTGCCTTCTCAGCTCCCTGACCCCATTGAAATGAAATTAGTTTCTTTCTCTTGGGGAGGATAGGAGGCCCAGAAATGTCCACGTGGCTTTACGCATGTGCTCGGGCTGAGCAAGTCTGCAGGGGCGTAGGAAGGGAGCGAGCTCCTGCCTCCCCCCCTCAGCAGTCCCCTTTTGGGTTGCTAGCTTCCCTCTCTTCTCCTGGCAGCTCCGTTCCCCACCCACCTGCCCTCCTACCTTGTGGACACATAAAGCTTCCCCTAGCAGCCAGCAGGCAGTTCTGGTGACAGTGCAGGCAGGAGGGAGCCTGTCACCCTGGCTGGGCGGGGCCCAGGGTCTCACCCGGGAACATCTATGGAGTCCGTGGGTGTCTGTCCTTTGGGAGCCCTTCATGTAGGAGGAGCTGCCTCTCTGCCTTAGGTGTGCAACCTGGGAAGACCTTCAGCTTGGCCTTTGATAACCTCCTCTGTGGGTCCTGGGAATAATGAAAGTACCTCTTCTCTCTCTCTGTCTCCTGCTCTAGGGTATCAAAATAACCTGGACT